CTGGAAAAAACTTCAAGGGAGTAGGATGTTAACAAGTTCACATCCCACTTACTGTTCTATCCTGCCGTGTAATAGGGAGGGGATTCCTCCTGCAAAAACATGTTCAAATCACATTGTCCTGGCAGTCAAAGTTCTTGTTTTGGCATTTGAAAGGCTTGCTGAGGACAAGTCCTGCAGTAGTGTACGGAGTGCTCTGTGACACCTTAGTTAGAAGCATCACACTGCTAGACTTGCTGCCTGCTGCTGTGCATTGTGCTAGTGCTCACACTGTGTGCTGGCTAGTGAAACAGCACCTTTAAGAGCAGTTACTCTTTTGCCAAGCCAAACAAGGCAAAGTGTTTGAAAGGGAAGCAGTACAAATACCCAGTACCTCTGGTATTTGCACAGTTTACTGCAGGGGAAACTGAAGCTTGTGAACCAGGGAGATAGTGAAAGATAACCCTGATAGGAGGGGGTGCTTCTAAGATACAGCCTCTCACGTGTCCCCTTATAATTTGTTTTGCCTGTATTTTTCATATTTTAAATAATTCCTTTACACTAGGTTATTGTAGACCCTTTACATTTAAGGTATTCTGTCTCACTAAGCTACCAAAATCAGTGTTATTAAAGTTTTGCTGCATTCTTGTTTAAATTTGGTTTGCTCCACGTGTGTCAGTAGGTCCTTATTTTAAACATTGATTCAGTAAATTCCCAACATATTTGTGATTGGTATGCAGCACCTTCTGCATGTGGCTGTTTTTTCATCTGCTTGTAACTTCATGGTATCTTTTTGCATACTGATTTCAAGTTACTTGGAGCTTGGGACTTGGATGTTTTGGGGCAGCCTACGCTAAGACTCCCCTAATGCAGGCTGTCAGACCTGTTGTTTCAGGATCTGTGTTGCAACAAATACTGTGTTCTTGTCAACACAGCCAAATATTTAAAAAGAAAGCTTAAGAAGTTGCATGAAACTATTATTTTAAACTAACTGTGCTCAATGAAATGGATAACTAATTCTGGGTATAATCCCATTCTGAGTCTATACTTCCGTTCTGTCTCTACCACCTCAGTAGGCTGAATTTGTGCTGGGTGAAAAAAAAGCCCATTATTTGTGATAGCTGCGCATGTGTTCTGACTTGTATCAAATTTGGGCTTTGTCTGCTTTTGAGACGTAAATATGCATTCTTTTTGGATGCAGTAGTGTTGAACAGAAGGTTTTCACTTACAGTAAAAATAGAGAAGTCACAGTTAATACCTTAATTACTAATCACCTGGGTGATCATCTAAAAGGAGACTGACAGCATGCTGTCAGATTATCACTGCTTCAGACTGTGCTCTTAAAAGGCATTGCCACCTTTTTGAACCTTTGATCTCTTTTTGAAGTTCTTGTAATGTTGCAATCTTATGCGTTAGGAAGAAGGAGAAAGAATTGAGATAAACACTTGAACAGTTGATCATGATGCCTAAGTGCAGTTACTTAGTTCTCTTGAGCATAATACCTTTGTTTTCCTAATGGGCTGAGCTATTTGTAGTTCCCAAATCTCCATAAGGTAAACTTATTGTACCCCATCCTAAAGCACAGAAGGTATTTTTATCTTATTAGCCATTAAATATTTTGAATTTAAGACAGGTTTGAGAAATGGTTTTTATGTTACAGTTTAGAGTTATCTCATCTTTCACTCATTGCTTTGAACTGTCTGTTTCTGTTAACACCAAAATGTATCTGCCATCTTTGCCACAGATTCCCTCATTTTTCTTGCATTTAACTCTTGTCGCTTAATTGCATCGTTATTACCGCTCATATATATGTTCTATATATTTCTATTACTTATATTTATCAAAAATATGTTGAAATGTAAATATATATATAGGTAGATAGATATACAATGCTATCAGGTGAAAGTTGCATTCCAGATTCACAGAAGGTTGTGAATTTTTTCCACATAGTATTAGGTATCAAGTGGTTTTAATGGAACAAATTTGACAATCCCCTGATTCAGAAAGTTAAAATGTAGCTGCCAAAGTCTGAGGGATGGGGAAGGAGGCTTGTATATACACAAAGACAGGCTCAAGGTGATGCTCAGAGTGTCTTACATTGTGTGTGTCATTTTTGTATATGTGTAAGAAATGCTTTAAACATCTCAAGTTAAATATACTTTCAGGACTGCAATAGAAGGGCACCAGTAACTCTTATCTCTCTTGGAAGAGAGAAGAGTAGAGTTATGTAAAATCCCTCACATGGCAAGTTGCCAAAATCAGGGGTAGTTATGTTTTGTTTGATGGGTTTTTTTGGTATTGTCTCCATTCTTCATAAAGAATCTAATTAGATGCTTTATTACAGCTGTAAAATTGGTGACACTCTGTGAACTGCAAATCCCTGAAAATCTGCTCAGGTCATCTTGCTAATTTTAGTGTGGAGGTTATTTAGGATTTTGGCAGGGCAAATTGTACTAACTTTGTACTACATGGAACTACAGAGAAATCAGCTGTGCAGATACTTTCTGGTTATGATTAAAAATCAGAACAAAATAGGTGTGGAACTCAACATGGCTGAGGAAGTGTGTCAACTAGGTTGTAGAAGAGTCATGATGCAAGTTAAGTCTAGCATTCACCAGGTGACTTTTGAAGTATGATGCATTCACTATGAAATTCGAATATTTATCAGGTTAACTCTACCATGTAACTTCACTGTGAAAGAAAAATATGGTAAATTTAATTTAAAAGTTCTGAATAGGATTGCTTTACTTATAATAAAAGCACAGCATGTCATTTCATAGCAGAAAGGTATGTGGAAAGAGGAGACCTTGCTGCTGATGTTACCGTGAATCAATGCACAGTATTTGTC